TTCCCCACCTTTGGGGTCGTTTCCTTCCCCAGGTCTGGTTTTGTTTTGCCTTTTTTGCAAGCTCCTCGCCATAACCCTCCCCTGGGTTTTGCTGAAGCCACTGGAAATTCCTTTTCATCCCTTGTCCTGGTGATTGCCTCACCAATAAAACACACACTGCTCCTTGCACCCTGGGTGCTCTCAGCAAGCTCAGATATCATTGTTATATCTTGTGATGTCCGTTACCATTAACAATATTTGCATAAATCCTCCAAGCCCTGGCTGGAAGGATAAGTGCCATTGGCCGCATCCTAAATCACGTTTATGAATCACAACCTGACAAAGAGCAGTTTGCTCTGCAGCGAGTGGTTCATTTTTGCAAATAAAAAACACCATGAGTCATTACTTCCAGCTTGTATCTGGGGAGGGTGAGGTTTGGGGGGGGCTGCGCTACACGAGCAGATTATATTTCAGGCAAATAATTTATGGGTTTGTACTCATGAGCAGCAATTTGCATAGATTATCCCTCTGCAAGCTGCAGAGCACTTTGCTGAGCAGCGTTTGTCAGTGTTCTCATTCCATGGCTCGTTTGCAGAGGGACCTTTGGCAGAGAGGAACGAGAGGGGGAGAAATAGTGTGGGTGCAAGGAGGGCAGCGGTGCCCGGCGAGCCCGGCGCCTGGGCTGTGCTCACTGGGGTCTCCTCACCTTCCTGACCAGCCCAAAATCACTGTTTGGCCAAAACTCAGAGAGCCTCGATGGGTGTTTCTGATGGTGACTTGGTGGCCCTGGTCAATAGTCTGTAAAGATGGTTGATTTTTGGAAGCTGCTAGAGGAGGGACGGGGAGACCTCTTTTATCCTGCATGAAGACAAGGGGGTTGGTCTGTTCTCTCAAGTGACAAGTCATGGAACAAGAGGAAATGGCCTCAAGTTACACCAGGGGAGGTTTGGGTCCAGATTTAGGGATATTAGGAAAAATGTCTTCCCCAAAAGGGTTGTCAAGCCCTGGCCGAAGCTCCCCAGGGCAGTGGTGGAGTCCCCATCCCTGGAGGGGTTTCCAAGCCGTGGAGATGTGGTGCTGAGGGACATGGATTAGTGGGGACCTGGCAGTGCTGGGGGAATGGTTGGACTTAAATCTTAAAGGTCTCTTCCAAACAAAATAATTCTATGATTCTAAGAGATTAGATGATTCTGGAGTTGATCAGGAGGGATGCAAGAGGTGGATGAGGGTGTTGTGCTGTGTTGGGGGCTGTCCATGTGGCCTCTCCCTGGAGGCTTGAGGACCACTGAGGCAAAGGGGTCCTTCACCATGGGGAAGGCAACACCCCAGCAAGGGGCAGACACGGTGGCATCAGCTTGTTTCTAATGTGGCTGGTATCTCCCAGAGCCTGCAAAGATCTGCAGACAGGGATTAGTCTGGAGGGTTGTCATCTCAGAGATACATCAGGATGATAAACCCCACCATAAAGCCAGGCTTTGCAGGCCCAGTGAGCAGCACGTGGGTGAGAGGTTCAACCAGTGCAATGGAGGTGGCTGGAGCTGGGGGGTGGAGAAGGTGACAGTCACCAGGGCCAGCAGCCTGCACCCACCATGGGAGCAGCTGAGCTTTGCCCGTGGGGAGCTGCCCCACACAGCAGTGCCCAGCTGGAGGTCACACTCCCCATCCCCATGAATGGTTTTGATACAACCTACCTGGGCTGTATTTAGCAGGCACGGTGCACAGCCCCACGTGCCCCACTTCACCCCCGTGCGGGGCTCAGGGGTGCAGTGCTTTGGTTTCACCTCCTGACAGCACCTCTGCTGCCCTTCCTTCCCCACCACGTCCAGGTACAGTGGCCATGGACCTCCAGAACACGGAGTGCCGCCCCGCCCAGGGCAGCAAGCTGGCACTGCCCGCCGAGAACGGCTCCGGGACCCGGCGGCCCAGCATCGCCCCCGTCCTGGAGCTGGCAGACAGCTCCTCCCTGCTGCCCTGCGACCTGCTCAGCGACCAGTCCGAGGACGAGATGACTCAGTCGGACGAGGAGGGGTCGGCGGTTGTGGAGTGAGTCCCTCGCCCTTGGCCGAGCTGTCCCTCATTGCGGGGAGCTGGGGACCCTTGTGACGAGCGACAGGGGATGAGACAAGAGAGGAGATGGGCTCGAGTCGCACCAGGGGAGGTTTAGGTTGGATATTAGGAAGAATTTCTTTGCTGAAGGAGCGGTGAGGCCTTGGCCCAGGCTGCCCAGGGAGGTGGTGGAGTCCCCAGCCCTGGAGGGGTTCAAAAAACATGTGGACGTGGCATGTCGAGACAGTTTAATGGTCATGGTCATGGGTTGTTGCTTGGACTTGACGACCTTAGAGGTCTTTTCCAACCATAATGATTCTATGAAGTGATGGGCATGGGCAGTGGTGCCTGAGGGATGCTGGGGGTCAGCCCTGCTTGGCTTTTACAGGAGCACACAAGTCACCTCTTGGGATGCTTTGGAGAAACCTCCTGTGGGTATCAGCAAAGTTGCACCGAGGCAGCCCTGGCTGGGGTGGGGAGGTGGTTCCATCAGTCCTCTCACCTCACTGCACTCACTGCTGTGTTCTCCTTTGCATGTAAATAAAAAATGCAGAAGAATTCCAGCTGCAAAGCTGTCTGCTGGTCTATGAGAGCCAGAGAAGCACTTGCTTTACTGGTTACCTGCTTGGATGCTGTTGCAACCATGTGGGGAGTTTACTGAGTGTCTTCAAACTCTCACAAACTGGCTTTTAATTCATGTCCACTTTTAGCTGCTCTTTAAATGAAAATTTCAGCTTCTGGTTCCATAAAAAACAGAAATGGTGATTTACAAAAACAAAAGTCTGTTCACCAAAATGAACTCTAGAAGTGGACCTTGAGGTTTTTTGCTGTTCTGTGGTTCAGCATTGCTCCTGTCCTGGAGCTCACTGCCCTGACAGTGGTCCTGGGGGCACTCTCCAGTGCTGGGAACAACGTGGATTTAGTCTCATGACCCTTTGGCATAGCAAAAAATGATTCCTAAATATATCTATTCTGGAAAATTTCCAGCTGCTGCAGGAGAGCTTTGCAAAGCATTTGCCTTGCCAGTGATGTGCTTGCCCCCTGGGCTCCTGCTGTTAAGCGGTGTCCCCAGGGTCTGGGTGCTGTGTGTGTGGAGAGTTCTCCCCAGTGCCTGACGCTGCTGCACGTTCTCTCTGCTGCAGGTACGTGAAGGGGTAACCACCAAACTCCCCCCACATTGGGAGCTCCAAAATCTTCCCCGAGAAGGCCCGTTTCTGCGGCCTGAGGCTGGACAAGGTACGATTGGGGTGCTGGGGGCTGCAGCCCCCCCCCGGGAGCGGGATGGCTCCATCTGCATGGTGGGTGGGTGGGTGAGACCCTCACGCTGAGCCCCTGCCCTGCCTTCCACCACGCAGGGCTGCAAGCACAACAGCTTTGAAGATGCCAAAGCCTACGGGTTTAAGAACAAGCTGATCATCGTCTCGGCCGAGACGGCGGGGAACGGGCTCTATAACTTCATCGTCCCCCTGCGTGCCTACTACCGCTCCCGCAAGGAGCTGAACCCCATCGTGCTGCTGCTGGACAACAAGCAAGTACTCTCCCACGGACGTTCTCCACCTCACCCAGCCCCCTCCCCTCTGTTTTCATGGCTTGTAGGGATGGGAGCGTGGGCGAGCGGCACTGCCGCTGCTGATACCTCAGCTGATGTTGGCCCTGGGGACTCCTGTGTGGGTGTTGGGTCTGTCTTTGCCCCGTGGATTTGCTGAACCCCCTTGGTTTCTGTTGCTCTTCCTCCAGGCCTGAGCACCACTTTCTGGAAGCCATCTGTTGTTTCCCCATGGTTTACTACATGGAGGGCACAATCGACAAGTAGGTGTTTCCCTGTGGGGCTGTTGTGATTTACAGTGGCATTAACCCCCTCTGAGACTTTCGGGTCATCCCATGAGAAGCCTCAGGGTTGGTACCGTAGAGCTTGAGGCCACCCTTGGCTTCTGGAGCGGGCAGCCCCCCTGGTAGATGGGAGGAGGTGATGAGCTGGTGGTGGGGAGCTGGCCGTGGCGCTGCGGGTCGCAGCCTGCTGCTTCCCTGTGTCCTTTCCAAGGGCTGACCCTGCGCTCTTCTCTTTGGGAACTGCCCAGCCTGGACAGCTTGCTGCAGTGTGGCATCATCTACGCCGACAACCTGGTGGTGGTGGACAAGGAGAGCACGATGAGCGCCGAGGAGGACTACATGGCGGACGCAAAGACCATCGTCAATGTGCAGACCATGTTCAGGTGAGGGGTGAGGGGTGACTGCTGCCCTGGCACCAGCACGGCCACTTCCCTCTGCTGGAATCAAGGCCAGGAAGGGTGCTGGTGGTGGGGTTGTGGCTACGGGCAGTGTGACGTGCCTACGGTTGGGCTCATTCTAGGAAACAGCATCTAATCAGCTGTTTCTGACCTCAGACAGGCACGGGGATGGGTTTAATCTTCCTCAGGCTTTGAATGCAGGGAATGCTCTCACTTCTGCGTGAGCTGCAGGACAACAGGTCTCTTTCCATTGCAGGCTCTTCCCCAGCCTCAGCATTATCACAGAGCTGACCCACCCCTCCAACATGAGGTTCATGCAGTTCAGAGCAAAGGACAGTTACTCTCTTGCACTTTCCAAGCTAGAAAAGGTAAGAGGAGGTCTCGCCCTGCACGTGGGGCCTGGGAAGTCAACCCTGAGGGGGACTATGTTTGAGCTCCTCAAGGTCCTGGCTGCTTCTGCATGCTGTACCAACCATAGTTAGACCATAACATCTACACAAGATAACCTGGACCCACAAATAAGTGGGCAGTTGATCTTTGGACTAGCTACCCCCTTCTGTGTATTTATGTATATATGCAGTGGCTGGAGTTTGTGTTGCTTTGTCCACTGCTGTGCTGGGCACACTGGTCCTCTGAATTTGGTTTAATGCTGTGATTGCAGTAAAGGGGTCAGTGGAGTCACTATGCTGAGAGATCTGACAGGGGAGAAGATAGCCCTGAACCAGGCACAGGAGCATGTGAAAGGGCCACATCCTGCCCATGTCAGAAACCCCCAACCATGTCTCACACATTTCCGTGGAGAAGAACCCCTCTTCCACCCAGTGTAAGGATGCTGCCCTGGTTCCCTCCTGACACACCCACCAGAAACACTGCACTGGTTTCCTCCCATTTTCACGAGTCCTCTAGTTCCTGTGCAACGTGAGCTGGGGAGTCTGGGTGGTTTTGCTGTGCTAAATGCCCTGGCAGGACACGAACTAGCCCCTGCCAATGGTATTTGTGCTCACAGCTCCATTTCCTCTTCCAGAAAGAGCGAGAGAACGGCTCCAACCTGGCCTTCATGTTCAGGCTGCCCTTTGCAGCCGGGAGGGTCTTCAGCATCAGCATGCTGGACACGCTGCTCTACCAGGTGAGAGCCCCGTGGACGCTGGGTAGTGCCCCCCTGCAGCTCCGGCCACCCCTTTGCATCTCCCAGGGAATACTGAGCAAACCTTTTGTCTGGCTTCCTGCCCAAATGTCTCCCTGCAGTCGTTTGTGAAGGATTACATGATCACCATCACTCGGCTGCTGCTGGGCCTCGACACCACGCCAGGCTCTGGCTACCTCTGCGCGGTAGGTGCCGAGTTCTTCTGGGTTGAAACCATGGGACCAAGTCATTGTGGACTGGTAGGAGCTGTCACCCTGCTCACAGGGTGGAAAGTTCCTCTCTTCTGGGGAATTAGGGCATAGGCAACACTGCCAGGTCATCGCTCCCATCCATCACGTGGAGGGAACCTCACCACACCAAGACCCCAAAAGCTGCCAGGGGCCCAAGTCCCTGTTCTGAAGGATGAGGTCAGAAATTGCCCCTGGTCTTTTTGTGGACTTTTTGGGATGGTCACGGGCGAGCCGGGGTGAAGCTGAGGAGCAGCCTGAGGTGCTCTGCACGGTGCCAGGCAGCTGATGCTTGTGCTCTGTGGCTCAGATGAAGATCACTGAGGATGACCTGTGGATCCGCACGTACGGCCGCCTCTTCCAGAAGCTCTGCTCCTCCAGCGCCGAGATTCCCATCGGCATTTACAGGACAGAGTCTCACATGTTCGCCACCTCCGAGGTAGGGGCACGGTGGTGGCACGTG